ACCCCGCCGCCTGCCCGGCCGCTTCCCCGGGAAGGGGCGGCCAAACCCGCCCGGAGATCCCGGCGCCCCGCGCCCCCGGGGGAAACGCCGATTCACCCTGTCTGGGTTGAAAGACCACAGGGGCGGATTATAAGAGATGGTCTCCACTTTCGGGACTTCAGCAGAACTGCCGTGGGCTTGTTTTCCGGGCAATCGCAGTGACTGCAGCCACTCCCAAAATACCTCATGCCTGGCTCTGAGTGTTTTTACTCCTCCTGGTATCTCGGATCCCCTTTGCTAAGGCCACCGGAGTGAGGTCATGAAGTTGGCGCTTGAGAGCACTTCGTTCATCACCTCCTCCTGTTTCACATAACTGCTAGGCTGTTTTCCATGCTGCAGATGGCGTTTACAGTGTTTAGTCACTCCCATGGTGTGGTAATGTCTGTGATGATTAACATATTTGCCTTTGTAATAAGTTTATTTCATATGGCTAGTACTTGTGCATGTGCCTGTGTAATCTTCTTCACGGGAAATATTCACTCATTTACCAAAAATGTCTCTCTCCTGCCCTCCTGTTCTTCAGATGCCACCAGATGAACAGGAGGTGCTAGTATGGACAATATACCTTGTATCAACTCCAGATGGAAATACATCCGTTTCCAGACTAGATATTTAATTTTAAGTTTGTTTTGTGAAGTAATGTTGTCTCTGAGAATATGAGTTTTTATTTAAATTGATAGCTGAAATAATTTATGTTCTCTGAGAGCGTCTGTATGCCTAGACATGGGTTTTACCACTGTTTAAGGTGGAAGACTTACATGAAAGCCTTGCTAAAACATTGGTATTACATCTCCAGGCTGCGCACGAAGTCTTGTTCTGTTGCCATCAGGATCAGTTGGGGCATGGATTTGCTGCGTTTGCATCTGTACTTTAGGGACTTGTGTAATGTACTTTGAAAACAAGTAACTTTGCGTGTCCATTGCACTATTCTGACTCCTTTGCAACTGTACCTTGTTCTTTTATGTCCAGATAAGCAATTCATTCCTGTGACCTCGTGGTCTAAAACCTGAACTTGCTACTAAACAACTTCAGTTGCAGCCCTATGTGTGTAGCTTGTTCAGGCTTCAACTCTGCGTGGCAGAACATTCATATTCATCATTAGTTGCTTCCATACATATTAAACACAGGCAGAATCACTTGTTGAACATGTTGCATGAATACCTATTAGCTGAATTCACAATTTATTATTCTCCTTTACATAGAAAATGTGTGGTGGGTACCTCACTGTCAGGGCCTCAGTGAGCTTCCTCTTGAAAATCAGAATAATCCTGTTATTGCTTCTGCTTAAATGAGTGAATAAATATTTCAAGAATTGCTTTGCTAGAGTATTATTTACTCTAATTCGGTTATTGGCTGAACTTAATCTTACTTTCAATTAATTTTATAATGCTTATGAATTATTACCTCATTTTTACAAGGAAGAAGGATGCACTTCTTTGAGGCAGAAAAAAATGCAAGCATATAAGTCATCCACTTAACCTGGTCACATAATCTCATTGTTAAGCTGGAGAATTCTGCTGTCACTAAAACTTTTATGTCCCACTGTATCTTTTAAAAAGTCAATATATGTAGAAATATACTGTAAATACTTAAATGGACAACAGGGAGAGTTCCTAATGATGTGCCTGTAATATCTAAAATGGCCTAAAAATAAATTGGGTTTTTTTTTTTCCTTTCTAGCAAACTTCTGAAGAGAAAGAAGTCTGAAACAGGGCTGCAGGGAGTGACTGGAGAATGGTTTGAAGAAATACAAAGAAAAAAGTTTCAGAATTACATTGATGTCAATAGAATGCTAAAACCACCATTAGAGCATCAGCTAAGGAAGTGCAAAGACACCAGTGAGTTGCATTTTTCCGTTTACTTATCTATATGATAATGGTCACCAAACCAATGTCTTAGAGCATTTCAGAGTGTAATAGCTAAGGAGTTTCTGAAATTGCATTGAGTTTCTTCTCAGGTCGAAGTTTTACCAAAGATATATTTTCAAGATTATTATGTTTCTTTACGCAGGTTCTGTTAAAAGCACAGCTGAGAGTCACAACAGAAAATCCCTGGTATTCTTATCCCATAGTTAGAATCATAGAACAGCCCAGGTTGGAAGGACGTCGGAAGATCATCTGGTCCAACCTTTCGTGGGAAGGGATGAGATTATCTAGCACCCTGGCCAGTTGCATCGTGTAAACCTCCAATGATGGGGACTCTACCCTGTCCCCGGGGAGGTTGTTCCAGTGATTGATTGTCCTCACTGTAAAAAATTTCTTTCTTAATCAAGATGAAGTTGCTGTAATTAAAATAAATATAGTGGTTGTTTCCTAATCAAAGCAGTAATGTTTACTTTGTACAAAAAATGTTTCTGTTTTACCTAGTTTTCTCAAAAAAACTAGAAGCACCTAAATAACGTTTGGAATAAGTAGGTAATCTGGGTTTGGGTGAGAGAGGTTTGACTGTACCAATGGAAAATTTTTCCTGGTAACACTGGACTAAAGGCATGCCAGTGCTGATTATCAGGGTGGGTGACAATGCCTGGAAAGTTGGGCTGACCAGGAAGCAACTTCTGGAGATCTCATTCGCAGGTTCTGTGGCCCATCCAAAATGAACATGTGCAAGAAGCAAGGTATCTCTATACCAAGCAGGGCATTCTGTGCTGTCTTTTTCATCTTCCATCCAGATAGTTTTCATGCATGATACATGCTTTTACTCCATTCACATTTGTGCATGTTTTTCATTGAGCTCTTCCTATTTGTGCTTCGTAGCAACTGGAAGCAGAGTCATGTATTTCAAAAGAAAAATGAAACCCTAAAAAATTTCCTGAAACTACAGACCTACACAGAACAGATCTCTCTCTTTCCTGATGGTTTTTCCCCAACATCCCCTCTGGTCCACAGCTGTTTAATATTTTTCTCTTTCAGAGGTGGTCCAATTGATGCGTTAGCTAACTAAACTTTGTGTAATTGTTCTCTGGTATTTAACTTTGAAAGCTGCCATTTCTATTTCAGATCTGAAGAAGGGGTTGTGTGCCCCAGAGGCTTGTCTGATATTTCCAACTGTATAAGTTGGTTTAACAAAAGGTACTACTACCTGCAAGCCTTGCTCTCTCTACGTCCCTAGACCATCCTGGCTACAGCAGAGTGCTATTAGGACTCTCCTGATGACACCTTCATTGTCAAGTCAAAAAATGCCACCAAGAGGTTAGGCTCTGAAAGGGGTAAAGGATGCAGCATTTTGTAATACACAGTGATTGTCACTGAAGTGAAAGCCATGTATTACACACAGGATTTAATTCACGTGACATGAGTTATTCACTTTGTTTTGGACTAGGTCCAAAATGCTGCCCCTTGCTGTTGTTATGAGTGACACTTTGCTCTCATTTCCGGTTTTGCTTTCCTCTACAGTTACTGGATAAGCAATTTTCAGGCTGTTGTATTGTTTCAGGCATGTGATGTTTTAAATGGGAAAAAAAAAGATGCACTGCCTTATTCCTGAGTGAAGTCTTGTTTCCTTATGATGTCCTCCGGTTTCCTGTGGCATTTTTTTTTCCCTAATCTGTGAGCAATGCTCATCCTCTCCTTCACACCAATTGCCAGCTGCTTTTACAGGCAGACGGTGTTTATGTTCCATTTGAAGAAATCAAATCATAACCTTCCCAAAGAAATAATTCATGATATCTTGCATTTAAAATACAGTTCTGATATGCAGTTTGTAGCAGAAAAAAATGTACTCCAGTGGCCATGGGAATCCCATCATAAAGAATTGTATGATACAGAAGACACCTTAGTCTGAATTACTGTTATGTAGTTACATTACAGTCTATTAAACCATAGTATATTCAGGGTTGTCATATTTATATTTCTTAAAGTTGAAGAGAAAGTGACTAATGATTGTGGGTGCCTAAATTTTCAGATGTCTAATTTAAAACAGTTCTCATTGTCAAATGGTTGAGTGCTGATTATTTTCTGAAAATCATTTATCTCAATGGCCGTCACCCAAAACCAATAATAATTTTTGAAACTTTAGTCCTGTTTATCTTTCTCTTAGTCTTCTAGTTAGTCATTATAAACCACCATGTCACATAGTCTGTCCAAAAATGTCAATAAAACTGGATTTTCCTGGCATAAAAGGTAAGCAAACGAAAATTGTTTATGAAGAAATAACTTTTTATGTATATTTTAATACTATATTTAGTAAGAACTTGAAACAAATCAAATTTTTGTAATATTTTTAGATCATAAAGAATTAAAAATGTCATCCCGCACAAATCCTCAAGCACAAAAGAACACTTCATCTTCCTTTCTGGGGCTCAGATCACCTTTTTCTTGGCTTTCCTCCTTTAGAAAATCAAGGAAAAACCAGACTCAGAAGCAACCACGGTGAGCTATAATCCAAACATACATTATTTCCAGCTTTAAAAAAGTCTATGAATTGGTCTGTGTTTTGCTTAGAAAACTTTGTTAAAATCATTTTTCCAGCCTCTTGCCTTTCACCTCACTGGGAAGATTGGAATTTTACTTGGTCATGTAATGAGAGATTATTTGTTTGTGTCAGAAGAATGAGGACTAAGTGGCAAGTAATAGGTAAAGTCTCTTGGCTAAATCTATTTTGCTTGGGTTTTGCATAAAGGCTTTAAGTGTATGAAAGCCCCTAGACTTAGCAGCGGCTGCATCCTATTTAATTCCCTCTCAAGAGGACAAGGTGTAAGGCGCATGGGGATCTGGCTGTGATATAACAGGAAAGCGTAGCTTTCCCAGGCCATGGCAGAGAGTGCCGGCCCCAGGCAGCTCTGCTACATCAGTTCCCACCATTTCTAGCCCAGAGGCAGCTTAGAGGCAGGCCTGCAGCTTTAGCTCTAGCTGGGCAAACAGGGCAGCTCTCCAGTGCTTTTGTCTTCCGTGCTTCGTCAGGGCTTTGGTTTCAACTGGGTCTGAACCAAAGATGGTCTCATATGCAGCGCTGGAGCTGCTGTTTGAAGAGCATCCTTCTCCCTTGCCATCCACAGGGTTAAAGCTGCTGTTCAGAGGGAATGGGGGCTATGCTCAGGCTAGTTAGGTTGACTGTTCTCTCCTAACTTTTGTCCTGTATGGTCCTGTATGTCAGCAACACCTGAGTGAAGTATTATTTTTGTGTGCATCTCAGGGTAATGCTTGGGACTGGCAACCATAGATAAAGTTGCATTATGCTGTGAAATCTAAGTATGAAGCTGCAAGATCTTTAGCACAAAGAGCTGATTTTCACTCTGTTTGTGAGTCTCAGGCTGGTATTCTGGTCCATGCCTGGGGCTTCTAGGTGGCATGACGCTAGGACAAGGAACAGCTGTAATAAACAATGACAGGGAATGCAAGCCTCTAAAGAAATGATGATTAGTCTGATACACCGCTTGCCATTGTGGAGTGTTTGTATCAAAGCAGAAGGATTTAAGGAGAGGTTTGAACAGAGGCTGTGAGGTTAGCTTTGTGGATGTTTACTGGTAACAATTCTCCTACATAGCAACGCAGCATAGAAAAATAAATTTGCAAAGTTTTAACACTGCTCCATACATGTCATCTGCTCCCTCCTCTTTCCTGTGACATGGTAATGCCCCTTATGCTGGGACACACCAACACCGGACCGCAGCCCTCCCTGCAGAATAAAGGGGCACTGTGTAACTGAGAATTGGATTTCAAGGGCGCTTTATCCTGGTGCACGGTAAGGTAGCCACTGCACAAGCGAAGATCTAGGCTTTGCTGTAGAATCTAAGCATTGAAATGATTTCTTAATTTAAGAAGGCAAAAAAATAAACCGTGCCTACTCATTGCATCAACTTTTCTAATATGTGTTTGTCTGGCTTTTCCCCAGAAAATCTATCATATCTCAGGCTCAGATGCCTTTGATTTCTTACCGAGCACAGCTTGAAAAATAAACAAGTCAATCCTGACGTGTAGCTGAGCTGATTGCTACATTTTCTAGTCACGCCTCTGTGTCGAAAACTTCCCCCACCCTCTTCTAGGTGTTGCCGTGGCATGTGGTTTGCTTTATGCATAGACAAAGCGCTGAAATAATCTGCCTCTCACCAGGTAGAGTTATTTTGGAGAGCTAGTGAAATACAATAGCAGGCAGCACTGTAAATCCTGTAAGTAAGCGTAACTGGCAGAAGCTTTCAAATAGCTAAATATTAATGGCTGTTTAGAGGGTCCTTTCTGTACTGGAGAGACAGTTTCATCAGCTACAGTGGTGTTTTGCCGGGGGACTAAATTATGGATGCTGCAAAAAAGAATATGCTTATGTGGAGATACAGAAGATGCTAATGAAAGGTTTGTAACTGTAGTCTGAAGGTAGTGAAATGTTTGATCACTTTTGGTTCAAAGGTGTTCGGTGTTCTTGAATTCATCCTTATTCTTTTCTGATATGTAAGTGTGATTCATACTGGAAAAGAAATGCTCTTTCATTGTGTTTTCAGCATATTTGAGTTATGTGTTTGTTGCTTAGCTGTCGTCTTATGTAGTACTGATAACAATAGTAGAGAAGAAAACGGATTACACTCTGACATTAGACAACTCGGAGTTGGCCTGGGGAAGACAGGTGCCTTAATGAAAACACAAATTCGCAGCAGATTTTAATTCATGGATTTATATTATTGTTACCAGTAGTGATAGTAGTAAGTAGAGTCATCTTATACTTTTAATCTTACATTTGGTTGTCATAAAAAGATACATGTGTATATAAGTGAAAAAGTGTAAAATATAACTTCTTGTTTTCCATAGTGAGTAGTATTTTTCTGATGGCAAATATTTCTGAACTTAAACAGTAATTTAACTTCTTTTCTGTTTATGAATAATAGATAATGTTTACAAGTATGTGTGTATGTGCGCGTGCATGTGTGTGCGAAGTAACGTAAACATTGCTCAATATCCTTAACCAAAAAAGAAACTGAATTACTTTTTCCTAAAATTAAGCAATATTTCTCTGGAAGTAAGCAAAACTTTAATTTTGAAATGCTGAAAAACTTGAAAGAGTACAGAAAAAATAATGAGGCAATTTGAGAAGTGGAGGGATTGGCATAGGAAAAAGACTAAAATAATCTTGTCTGTGTAGGTTGGCAGGGAGGAAAATAAAGCAGGATGCAATGACCAGTTATTTCTGAAAGAACAGTGACAACAAAGACGTGGAGGAATTTAGAATAGTGCCAGAGGTGCAAATGAAAATTTAATTTTTGCCTAGACTATCAGAAGACATTTCTAACATGTCTACTTCATGTAGCTTCATTGCAAGGAGCAGTTAACGCAACACCAAGCACAGCACCAAGTGGGGAGAACTGTAGAGCAGCTTTGCACAGTAAAGCTGAAGAAGAGAGCTTCTAACAAAGCTTTTACATTTTTGTTGTGCATATAATTAAAATTAAGGTAGCTCACTAAGCCACAGGATTTAATTGAACTTGGCTTGCAGGAAATCATTGTAAAAACTTTGAAACGTAAGTTTCATTCTTAGTTTGTTATAGAGGCATTAAAACATATTCAACATTATTTTAGTTTAAAGGAAGAGCTACATACATCTCTGAGTCCTGGTTCTGTAAACTTCATTCACAGGGAGCGGTAACCCACTGAATTAATGGCTGTTCATATTCAGTGCTACAAGGAAAAAATTAGGAATTTCAGATTCAGATTGTCTGGCCGGATCCTAAGCCCACTGAGGTCAACAGGCATGTTTCCTTTGGTTTCAGTTGGACCCCATGTCAGAGAGGAATCCTGGTTTTACAGTTCACAATTACAGAAGCAAAAACAAATTGCACCTTTCAACTGTTCTTCCCTGCCTGCAAGCACATTGCAAACAAATGACAAAGCACTTCAGGAGGAAAGGCTGGGCCACAAAGAACCTGCCAACAAGCCGGTTTATACTTGCTGTTGAAGCACAATAAAGTAGTCTACCTGAGCACAAGAAGGTTTTAAGAGCCTAAGAATAAGGTCATTCAAAAAGACTTTCAGACAAACAGGACTGAGCAGAACCGTCTTTCTCTACTTCACTTTCTCTCAAGAATTAAATTCCTGGGAAAAAACGATTTCTGAGAGAAGGAAGAACTAGCAATAAGCACAAGCTGAGCAACACTTCCTTCAGGGCTTTTGAAGGGACTGAGTTTGCTTAGTTGTAAAATAAGGATCTGCAGACTAGAATAGACTCAGTGAAGTCAAGTCCTGTTTTTATTTCTTTAGTTTATTTTGTATTTGTATGTCTGCAAGTCACTGCATAGAACAGAATACTTTTTATGTTCAGGGCTTCTTGGCTTGTTCTAACCACCGCATTACTCACAGACGCTCTAACCAGTTCTCTGCCAAGCCCTTGCAGTCCTATATAGCTTAGGAAAGCAGACGAGCCTTCTACCATGTGTTAAAAATTGGTAAATAAAGGCTGTTTCGGGTAAGCAGCAGCAAGTTCCAAAGTTCACATTGAAAACAATCTGCTGTCTGTCTCTCCTCCTTCACAGGGGCAGAGCACAGCTCTGCATCTAAGCAGGGTGAAATGGAAGAGAAAAAGAATAGAATTGCAGATGCAAACCACTTATAGATTTACAAGTACCTAACTTCGGCTATTCGTAGTACCTACTAAATTATTGTTGTTTGGAAAAGGAAGTAATACCATCTTACCGTAATGCTGGATTGAAGCAATTACTTTATGGCTGTTGCGGACATTGAAATATCAGTAGGTTGAGTTCATTCTTGACTGTGCAGCTACGATATTTGCAAGCTGACAAGGCCAAACTGAATTGTACATTTCCCCAGCATTTTTTTGGTAGCAGGATTTTTTTGGGGGGGAAGGATGGATTGTTCATAGAGCAGCCTTTTTTCAGATGCTTCTCAATAGTTGTTAGAGAGAAACTGCTGGATATTTACCACCTGGTAAAATTACATCATGTTCCTTTTCAAAGCCAACATTTAAATCCTTCTGCCTACAGATATGACAGTTCTGCTAGCCCATCTTCGAAAGTGGAAGAAATGGCAACGGTAAGTAGCTTATCAACTTTATTGTCAGCAAAGTTTAAACCACAGATGTTTCAAAAACCTAGTCCTCTTTGTTTAGGCTGTTGATATAACGCCTGTTTAAATAGTATTCTTGCCGTTCTTGTTAAAAACACTGAGTAAAATGTCTGTGTTGTGAACCTGTTGAATGCAGTAGAATGAGCTTGCCCTCTTAACTCTACAAGTCCAAAGCCCTAACTCTAGCTCTGATCAGGTTTCAGTTCTCTCCTAATAACGGAATAATTTGTAGGCCAAAACCCTCACATATTTTGGCAACTGTAACCAACTTGCAAATAAGTCAAACCTCACACTGAATAAATAATCTAGTGTATTTACTTTGTTTCTTTTCATTTGTACAAGGGTGAAAAATAGTAGCTGACTTGGGCAGGCAGTAAGCTGGAGCCTCTCCTGCAACATTTCCATGCACAGAATTACCGTGTAAATGTAAATTTTGACTGTAGGAAATTACTTTTTGGCTGAATGTTCCATTTTGTAAGCACAACCTCAATGTAAGGATGAAACAACAGATTTATTTCTGATGTAATTTAAGAGCACACTGTTGAAATAAACAGATTTCCTCCAAGGGTGATATTTGCTATTTTAATTACTTTATTGCCCTGTATTACTAACACGTGTTTCCTCCTCTTCAATTGTGTGGTATAACCACAGGGGGGACTAAGAAGGTATGCAGTATGTAATCAAAGGTATAGAGCAGGTAAATTGGCCACCTCCTTTCTCTCAAATTTCAAAAACAAAGGGATAATCTATATTAATATATGACTGAACAAAGATCTGTTGTATAAATAGCTATTATAGCTAGAGAAGTAAAATATTACAAATACTGAGAATTAAAAAGTAGTAAGGGTTTTTATTTAAAAAAAGGAGGAGGAGTCTCAGCTAAAATAAGTCAGCAGTTCAGCAGTTGTCTGCACTTCTACCATCTGAGACTGTGAGCTGAGAGAAATATGGATGGGATAGGAACCTCTCCAGCTTAACATGTAAACTAAACTCAGGTGGGGAATAGATGACATTTTCCCCACTGCTAAGGTAATTTTTCACAGCCCCCTAAAGTGCTGTCTTGCAATATGAAAGTTGACTGTGGTGTTACATTATTAAATCTCCGTTGGGACATCAATGTGTGAATTTTAAAATGTGCTGGTCAAGGAAGAAGTGATTAGGAAAAACTAAATTAAGAGATACAATGCAGTAAGGTTGCATATGGAGAGAATAAGTAAACTATGCCCCTTATTATAAGGTCATTATAACTCATATATCCAAAACATGCTACAGTATGAGGACAAGATGAGCAAATCTCCTTCTTATGTATGTAAAAGTCTCTAAAATGCATGCAACTTTACAATCCTTCGGTTTGTGTTTTAATAATACAGTATTTAATGGACCCACAAAGAGTTTACTGACCTCTGTGACTTGTGACACAATTTGTGATGTGACATGTGAAACGTGATTTGAACCCACATGTAACACTAAAATCGTGTTGCCTTACAATTTTAACAGGCTGAAATGTGTAATTCCCCAATGTCAACTGAAACAAGTGGTCATTCTTTTGATGCAAACCAAAATGAAATGATGCAGAAAAGTACCCAGGAATGGAATGAACAGCTAGAGAAGGAGTTTTTCAGTGGTAAGTGTGTGTCCTTACTTTGTTCTGATATTATTGTTACCAGAAGTGACTGTGGTGACTGGTTTCAGAGAATTTTCTGCAAAAGCATAGGCTGTAAAGATATGGCTCATTACTTTCTAACATAATGTCTTTTTGCTGGCTTCATCTGACAGCAGAATGTCTAATCTGACATTGACTTAAGATGTGTCACTGGTCACTCTTAGAGTGCATTTCACCTCATACTGATCCAGTTCAGAAGAATCACACCGTAAAAGCATACACTTCTCTCTGCTGATTCTGACAGGAGCCCATACTGAATCCTTTAGATGCAGGTATACAGTTATGCGAGAAGAATTTCATCCCAGTTTCCTGCATGCATAATTTTGATGACAGTGAATTACTGGGCCTGGTTTTATGAATTGTAAAGCCTCAAACCACAGAAGCAAGAGGCATTATGGCATTCAGTTAGCTTTCTGGGAGCCCTTATAGTACCAGCTGAAAGTTGCTGGTTCTTTTTTTTTTTTCTCTCACTGCTGGGAAGCGAGGCAAGATCAGACCCAGCCTATGGGTGTACACAGGTGTTCTTCCATAAGCTTTCTCAGATCTATGCAAAAAAATGTCCACGAATATTACTTTCTACCACACAAAATTACAAGAGATAACAGATTGAAAGCATGATCGGGAAGCAGTGGCAGTGCTGGAAGAGGAGAGCACTGCATGGTGGACAGTGATTCTTCTGAAACTCAGATGCCTGTCACCACTTTTGGGTGTCAGTCATAACTGTGCATACTTGCCCACTGACAGAGAAAAACTGTACATAGCTTGGCTGATGTCCTCCAAATGGAAGACTTAGAAACAACTCGTCTTTTTTCTTGTTCTAAACTGACTCTCTCAGGAGCCTTCTCTCTTCTGTGCTGAAGATATAAAAATGGAAAATTTGAGTATCTTTGTGTCACCTTTTATTCCAACTATACATACCTAGCAATGATTTCTTAATGATTCTGTACTGTTAGCACAGATCTGTAATGACTGATCAGTCAGTCTTTTTTATTTAAATGGATTAGGAAATGCTGTGACAAAACAGTCATATCCATTTTTTTATATTTTATGTGTGCTATTTTCAAAATACAAAAAGAATACAGGTAGCAATGGCATGATTGTTTTTGCTAATAAAAATACTTTAAATACATTGCTGTCACTTAGTCTTATGACTGAATATTCGTGGTTAACTGAACTGTATAGTGTTTAATTCCAGTTCATGAGACTGTCTATATATATAAATAACAGCTTTTTTGCTAGAATAAATCACAGGTTCCTAACTATTTCATTACCCTTTTTTATCCAGAAAATGCCATTTTCAGTGCTCATTTTAAAGTAATAAGCTACAATTTAGTGGAGAACTTCTTTTCTGAATAAAACAAACGGTGGACATGCCAGACTACTGAATATGCTTGTTTGATGGTTTGCAGGATTCTGTGTTACATCATAACCGTGCTTTGTGAACACACAGAAAGGTCCATGTTTGCCTAGTGAATTCTTTTCAGGGATTTTTTGCTTACAAGCTAGATTTGGAAAGTTTACACACACACACATACATAGCACGTGAGTAAGAATTCAGACTTCAAATTGTTTTGGTTTTCTTTTAAATATCATAAAGACTACCATTTACGTAAAGAGCAGTTTTAAGATCAGTCATGGAGCAGCGCATTTTTTTCCTTGTGGTCATAATGGGTGACTGCTGAAAGGTCCTGTGGAGGAAGAATGTGTGGTTTGGGAAGGGTTTTGAATGCTGAGAAGCTGACTCCTTTCAAAACCAGTTCTGATTATTAATGTAGTACATGAAACTTTTTAACACAAACATAAATAGTCAGAAGAACATTAAAGGAAACAAAACCAAGTATCTTTTTTTCCCTGTGCAGTTCTAAACGATCTGGATGACCAGCTGGCCCAGGAGCAAGCCCAAGACCCATTGGACAGGACAGTTTCCACTAGCAGTGCATCAAATGTCCAATACAGTAGTGCATTCCCTACTTCAAAGAGGCAGACTGCTAGTAGGGCGCAACACAGAAATGACTGGAGTGACATGCCTAGCACATTTTTCCCAGATGGACTAAGAACAATAAGAGCCAAAGATGAACACAAGATTTTCATCAGACCAAGGAAATTACACAGTGCATATATAAACTGGCACCAGGCAGCCTTTCAAGAAGATTACAAATATGGTGATCCAGTTGATGAAAATCCTCGTCTGCTAAGCAACAGGCTGTCTTCTGTTTCTTTCGGACGGTCTTCAGAAGGTAGCTTATATCCTCCTTCCATAACACAGAACAGTGGATTTAGGCACAAGACTTGTATGAACAAGGACACAGCTGGCAGAAGTTACTCTGTATGTTCCCTTCGGAGGTGTCCATCATCAGTATCTTCTGACCAGCTATCAGCATCTAGTTTACAACAGCCGTTGGCAAGGGAGAGCAACAATGGTTTTGTACCAAGGTTTGGTCGACAGAACCCAAAGAGAATTCCTCTGTCTTCTATTGTATGGAACAACACACCAGACTCTCCTGGACAAACATCAACTCAAGAAAAAATGTTTAGAACCCAATCACTGATGGAGTTTCATGCTACAGATCATGGTAGGTATCCTAGCTCTTTGCAAGAAACCAAGAAATACGCATGTTACCACCCAAAACACCACTACAGAAGATCTATTTCAAGCAGTAATTGCTTTAGTAGAGTTAGTTGCCCTGACAAAGCTACTTCTCCGTTGCCCTTTGATAACTGGGAAAATTATCCATTATACAAATCGGAAAATAATCTCTCTAGATCCTACTATAGAGATACTACTTCTCATGGCAAGTTGTATGCAAACCAAAAAATTTCTCCTTATGGAAGAAAAGACAGCTATCCTTCTTGGGCTGATATTCCTCAGTACTACAGTGATGAAGCATTTATTTCCCCTGATGCCAGCTTTGAAGTAATTATGGGTAATTTAAATGACCAGCAGTGGGCACATACGAAGAATGCCAAGTTTGGTTCACAGCGCCTGCAGAACGATTTTCACGTGTATTCTCCAGAAAATACGAATATCAAAAGTATAACAAGAAGTACAAATAGAACTTTTTCAGAATTCACCGAGGGCTGTCAGCCTTGGCTGAGTTATAACTCTTCAGTTTCTTCATCTAGTACCAGAACTGATGAGTCAGTCTTTCCTAATTCGAAGGACCAAACAAAACCTATAGGACTGAACAGGAATTCAGTCGTCGTTACCCAAAGAAGTACTAAGGCAGACTTTACACAACTAGAAAAGATTGAAGGTATGAAACTGCCAGATGAAGATATGCCATTACAGTCAGTTTCTCAACAAGTAGATGTAAACTGCATCAACACCCAGAGGTTTCCCTCTAACAGCCCTGCTTCTGCCATGTTGCAAAGCGATGCATCTCTCTTTAACACAATGAGATCAACGAGACAAACCCAAGTCACTGCCAGAGGAGATACTGCAAAAATGTATACATCAAGTGGTGATAAAAGAAATGTACAAATGAAGGAAAAGGATTGCCCACCCAACAGTGTGTTCAGTCAGCCTCCCTGTATTTTGCCAGCTGATGAGAGCAGGAAGGAACCTTTTCTTCCAAGTCAGAAAGAATGGGAACATAATCTGCATTATGCAGCAAAAAGGGAGAGCGTACAACATGATAATCGGAGTGCAGAAGCCATTAACCAAGCTGCTCCAAAGAGACAGTGCTCACTGCTGAATGTTGCTTCTGCTCCATCCACTGAAAAATTAGCAAACTGTCAAGGCATGTTGTCCTGTGCATCTAGCTCCTCACAAAGCTCTCCACAAGCACTTTCTCATAAAGACAATTCTAAATGTTTAGGAACACTAGCTAGCTCTTCAGTAAATTGCACAGTTACTGAATCTCAAGCAGAAGGTAGAAAAACAGCTCAAGTGAGCAGAATAGGTGTTACCAAAAAAATTTCACAGAAAACACTGCAAAATACAAGCACTTTGGTTACTAAAGACTGTAATGGACAATTCACTACTAGTTCTCCACAAAATGGAAATTCTGGAAATGTTTATATGCATAGCTTTGATGGAGACCCCAAGACTTCTGAACATAGATTAAGTTATTTTTGCCTTGAAAAAGAAAGCGGAAAAATAAGGAGTAATTCACCTTGTATTGAAGGGTTTCACAAGCAAGACAGCTTGCTGAGACATACCAGTAGCTGCAGCATTACTGGCTCCCCTAGCAGAAACAGCCTCAAATCTCCTGACCCACTTGTTATTTATTACACTTTGCCTAGAAAATCAGCTAGCATTGCTGGTAGTATTATGTCAGATATGCCCATCTCTTTACCTAGAGAAAGTAGAACAACATATGATTGTTTAAGGTCTGAAACTCCACGTAGAGCTGATGCCTTTTGTTCTAATCAAAGAGATGTGTCTTGTTTAGACTCAAAACATTCCTTTTCAACATCAGCATCATTAAATAGTAACAAAGAAAAAGACTACCCCAGTCCTTCAACCAAAACTCCTAATGATAGTACATCAGTTGAACTGACAGATAGATGTAAACATCTAAGCAGAAGAGAATCCTCTGTGTTTTCAGATTGTAAGGAGAGGGGAAATGTTTTGCAGAAATATAAAACCACAAGCACATTTACAGTTTGTGTTGATGAAGATCATGTCAAGTATCATGAACTAGTTTCAATTTATTATACGTTACCACGGAGGCATTCAAGAACATTTTGTAACCTCTTTAGAGATAATCCAGAGGATGCAGATTTACCTGGTCCCAAAGAAAATGCTCAGTCACCAAGAATACTAAACAAGAAAAACGAAGGTCATGTGAGTTTAGCAAATGTTTTTTTCCCCAGTACTTTGGAAAAAGAGGTGCCTTCATATGCTTCTGACCAAGTATCTTCAGCTCTGGTCACACCTCAGAACTTAGGAACTGCTGTTGATAGTGAAGAAGAGAATTCCCACTTATCTCCTAGCTCTGAGAAGGTATGTACTTCAAAGTCAATGAGTATGGTATGTAACAGGAAAGATAGTTCAGCAGATCTTTCATTAGCAGAAAATGTGCTCTCTGACATGGTGACAAAAGAAATTTCTTTTGGTGGTCCACAATCCACTGCAATAGTGGCTAAGTCAGGTAAGGCCATTTCTGATGCTTCAAGCAGCCAAAATACAGAAATATGTCTAAAAGAAAAGAAGGACATTTTACAAACAGCCACACCGCTAATGTCCACTTTATCAACCCCTCCCAAGCCAGGTAGACGTTTAGAGAATCCTTTGTATTCTACTTCAACAAATAAAAATATTACACAGAAGAGAAACTCTGAAAACTGCTGTCAGCCCCCTAAAGTGAACACCAATAAAAATCTGAAGAGTTTACTCCTCCACCCAAGAGAGAAGAGCTCCCTTAGAAGGAATGGTAACACAGAGCGTGCTGACGTGCCACTTCCTCCTGCGGAAGACACGTGCAGGGATAGTACTGAAGTCAAGCAGAGAGCAAATTTCCTACACCAAACCACTGCTCTGTTTAATAATAAATGTAGTGGACTGCAATTAAGGGCTGACAGTTCAAGAAAAAATGCAAATGATTTAAACTCTTGTAGCAAAGTGCTTTCAAAGTCTCAGAACAAAGCATCTGAGGTAAGCACAGCTTTCAGTGCTGATCCATTACTTCAGCTAGACAAAGTGGTTCACACAAATACAGATGAATTAAAAAATTCAAAAATTAAAAAAGAGCAAAACTCACCGAGTACTCAGATGGGTAAAGATTATGATGGTTTGCAGGAATCAGAGAGGCACAGTGAAGGCAGCCTGAATGTTAACTGTAAAGATAAAGTCCTCGGGGTTACACAAGATCAGAAGATAACGCAGAGTGCAGAAGACGAGAACAAGCTTCTCTCTGACTGCACAAGAGACAAAGTCAAAGATATAGAAAAAAGGAAAAACAGACCTTCAATTAAAAATAAACTGGCAGCTGTTTACAAAACAAGTCGAAAATTTTCAAGTAAAAATTTACCCCCCAAACCGCACATAAGTAACATTTTTTCACAGAATGATGGAAGTGCCACTTCTTTAGAGGTTGACATGTCCGTTGACTCATTGATTTCAACGGATTCCCATCAGCCATTCCTGCAGTCGGACAATGAAAATCAGAATCACAGTCTGGACCCTGATAAGAATACGCCAAGACCAAGAACAGCTGAGAATAAGAAGAATGAAAATCAGAATCACAGTCTGGACCCTGATAAGAATACGCCAAGAACAGCTGAGAATAAGAAGAAAGAAAATCAAAATGATCCTTCTTTACTTGTTAATAACACCAATTGGAGGTCTTTTACAAGCTCGTGCACCCAGAAGGAAGCCATCAGTCCCAAAAAAACTACAGTGAAAGTGGAAAATAGGCCAAGTCTTACAACCCTATTTCCAGATAAAGCAGTAACCACAAGAAATAAGAATTCCCAAATTGATCTCAGGTTAGAAAGCAAAAGCCAGCCCATCTCTCCCAGTGCTACTACATCAGACCCACTGGCTGATGAAAAAAGAAGAGCTAACAGTCGTGCCTGCAGTCCTCCCTTGCCACTTTTAACTGACAAAAACTCAAACACATACATAAATAGCTGCTTGCAGGCAGACATATGTCAAGAGCAAAACTTGACTTCCCAGGCAGTGCTTGGTCAGTGTCAAAATACCTCTCAGTCTGCTAGCTTAAAAAATGCTAACTTGCATAGCTATCAGTTGCGGAAGAGTCATGCCAAAAGTCAGCGTGAGCGTCACCTTTCTGAGAGTATTTGTGCTCGAGATTCCCATGAGACCTTTGCCTTGGGAACCAATATTCTACCAAAAGATGGAATACATGGGAAGAGATTTAAATCTTACTCGGAGCTGTTGTCTTGTGATGAAAATGAAAACTGGGCATCAGACGATGAAAAATGTTACAGTACTAGAAATCTGATGTATCCTTCTGTTGAATTTGGTATATTTGGCAAAGAACAGCAGTTGGCTTTCCTGGAAAATATCAAGAGGTCACTCACAGAAGGGCGATTATGGAGACCTTGTCTTCTTAATAACCCTGGTGCTCTCAGAGATGGAGAGACCCCTTCTATAAACAGGGCTGAGCTTTTGAGCTCTAGTCCTGCTGGGAGCAAACTGTCATCGGCTGCTTCATCCCCCCAAGAGCTGACTGATATCTATCGGGAAGACCCGGCAGCTTATTCGGACTCAGACAGTGATACCACCACCGATGATGAATACTACCTAGATGAGATAGATAAAGAATCAGAGCTATGAAGGGCCCGTGGTATTAAGATGGCATGACAGCTCGGTAGTTTCTGGGCAGGCAAAAACATAGAAAATACTTTGAGCCAGTTCTTGTGCTGCTATAAATTGGTACAACTTTATTAGTTTTAAAGAAGTTAGTATGTTATGTTAGTTGAGCATTTGACTTTTGTATTAAATATGTGGCTTCACCATTGTTGTTTCTCCTAGCAGGGAAGAAGAATGTTAAAAAATCCCTTTCCAAAATAATAGAAGGTAAACAACTGTGGAGCTTTAGGCAGTGTAACTCCAGAGATGGCTTTCCTCTGAGTCACCAAGCAGTGGCTTAGGCTCCTGCCAGCTATGCGGTGCTGGAATGGATAAATTCTGGCTTGAACTACATTTTCTTACAAGACTTAACAGAATATCAAGAGGTTACTTTGCTGATAAATTGCTGTTCTCCAATTTTCCTCATTTACCAGGTCAGGCATGATAATGCCAATCCATCCCACCCAACAAACACTCCCCCAAAACGAAACCTGTTCAATTTTTACCGCATATTCTGTAGGAATGTTCTTTTTCTGCATTCCTGGGAAGCATAGCAGCAATGTCCCCAGAGGCGTTTGTTCTGCCCTGCAGAATTTTCTCAGCATTGCAAGAGCAGTGAGCAGTGTGAGTTACGGAAGTGCTGCTAGTGCATGGGAAACAGCTCAGCAAAGGGCACAGCACTGGAAAACTCACCAAAATTCCTGAGGATGTTAAGAAACACAGCTGAGCATGGAAATCTGCTTTTCAGACATGGGAGATTCATAACTGGCACAGCTTTGGTTACAGTTGAGATGGACGGCTGGATTTCTGCCTTTGACTTAGGAACAAGTTAATTGGATTAATAATCGGATACTTTAAACCATGCAAAATGTAAAAAGTTTTACCCTATTTATTTCCTATATAAACCTCATAGGTTGAATCCTAAGTTGTCCCAATAGTGGGAAGACAACCATAACCAATGCAACTTGTTACATCCCCAGGTTCTCCCGCTGCCTCTGTGCTCGGCCGGTCTTGGGGTGAGGCACCTGCAGCCGCTGGGCTCCTTCAGGGCAGCACCTCCCGAAGCGGCCTGAGAGGGCACGTGGCTGGGTCGCGACTGCGCCGTACAGACTGGCAGGTTTTTACGTATGAAGTAAATAAAACCAGTGAGAAATGCTCTTTGCCTTTTGCTAAACTACCATCCCTTTTTGGTATTTTTCAACCATTCCCACTGTCACCACAGTACTTTTTATCCTTCGAAATGAACAGCTGTAAACTTTTTCCAGTGGCTCTTCTTCAGCCACACGAATAATGTAGTATTATTACTCAGTAGCCAAAACTCGTCTCTGGCCATGAAATTTCTAATTAAGCTTTGATCTCTTTTTATGCAAAATCAGAAATGGCTCACTGAGCCAGAAGATGGTATTTTTAAATAATTATACATCTACTTCTACTTTATTTCTAATTTCACATAAATGATGATCCATATTTTTTATACACTTTTTAATTCAATAAAATTTCTGTAGGACATAATTATATTTTTGTAACTGGAAGGACAGTATACTGATATTTTAAAATAATATATTTTACACAAAACAAGCAATGCTTGTATCACTGACTATGCCACAAGAAACTAAAAGATGAAAATACTATAATAGGTAACTGGTATCCTTATTTTTTTATACTGTAAACTTCGTTAAAGAAGTGGGTCTGTAGTTCAAATCTGTACTGATATATAAGTATTATTACTTTATACTGGGGTAATTTGTCTTTTGTTGTACATAGAAGGACTAATATAAACTATGTATTTATAGACAGAATTGATCTCTACGACATGCCTGTTTTGGAAGGATATAAGCGTATGCTGACATACGCAATGCTGGAAGGAAATGACTACTGTATAATTGCAATCTTGTAAAATGTGGTATTCTAAGGAGAAATTATGTTTTTCTGTAAACAGCTCTATTCTATACGTACAGGATGCTGTAGAGTAAGACAATAAAACGAGCAGAGTATCAGTGAGGAATTTCTGCTGCTGTACATTTATGCAAAATATGTTAATCCAAAAATTGGGAATACCAGCCTACATAAGGTAAAGAATAATTAAATAAACATTTACAAGGGAAGTAAATGGTCATACAGTTTTTCTTAACTAGAAGTGGATGGTTTAGAATATTTTTATTTGTAAATATTTTCTACCTGTTCAACAGAAGTTGGATTAAGTTCTCACCTTGTTGGCATAAATTTTTTTCATTTGCTATGCTATGTATGTACAGGAAATCAGGTGGCTTGATTTAATATAAGTAAGTAAAAACTGCTTTTGGTCGTAAATCAGTTGTGGAAGACTGCAGCCTGTTGAGGATCTGTAAACTAATATTTACCCTGAATAATGGTATTCTGTAAAACAATCAATTGCGTGAAAACATTGGGAGAAATACCCTTTGAATAGCAATCAGCCCTCTGTTCAGCTTAGCAGAGCCAGACTTCGACTCCTTCGCTCTTCCAGGCTTTTTCTTTGGCAAAAGTATATTCTATAAATGTTCATCATTTATAGGATTTTCATGTTTAAAATTAGTTGTTTGAAATAAATTCTGCATTCAAATGAAAAAATGTATTGGTACTGTGTTTATTTTTCACCTACTGTGAATGCCATAGACAGTTTATTTAAAAAAAAACAAAATCCAGCATCTTGGTATTGTTGCCAGGGTGCTGATGCCAAACGATGCCATAGATTTAAGACAGGGCACCAGCCTTGGTCCATCACGCAGCTGTAGGCAGCGGTCACCCGGCTGCGTGGTAGCTCAGACCTGCATCCTGCAGAGGAGGGATGTGCGCCTTGGCGATGCGCGTGCTGCTGCCTTCTCCTTTCCTGCCAGCTGTTGAGTCTCCAGTACACAAATAGTTTTCCATCAGCGGTAGTATCTTCACAGTAGACATGTTAACATCTTAACGAGCCATATGCCTACAGCTTGCCTTGAGGAGCCGATACTTCATGGCGGGGCCAAGGGTAGTATTTGATGAGTAGTTTTACAAGGTGCTGAGCTCCACGTGAAAATCCCTTCAGCTGGAATTAGGCCTGAGTGGAGCCTGCCTGCCACATGCAGTGTGACGGTGTGTGAGACTCACCACTGTCTTTCAACCTTAATTACTACAGCCAGTATATGTGGTACCTGAGTTCAGTGATGCGGTCCCTCAGCCTGGTTTCAGAAGGAAACATAGTTTATGAGCTAAAGTGGTGTTTCTGTCTAGATCTCTGCCCTCCCATTAGGTCACTCATGTCCGCAGATGACCCTTGACCTTTCTAACATCTCAATGATATTTGTAAGAAGGGAGAGAAATCTCATGGTTTCATCACAGGGTAGCTCAGACTGGGAGGGACCTCAGGAGGTCTCTGCTCCAACCTCCTGCTCACAGCTCTGAGGTCAGGCCAGGCTGCTCAAGGCTTCATCCAGTTGGGGCTTGAAAATCTCTAAGGATGCAGACGGGACAGCCTCTCTGGGCAACCTGTTTCTCTGTCTGACTGTCCTCATGGGGGAAATGTGTTACAGGCTGAGCCTCTCTTCCTTCAACTTACACCAGTTGTCTCGTCCTTCCGCCCTGCGCCATCTCCTCAATGATCTCCCAGGGGCACTGTAAGGTCCATCCCCTCCTCAAAGCCATCTCTGCTCCAGGCTGAACAGGCCCAGCTCCCCCAGCCTCTCCTCACAGGGCCAGTGCTCCCGCCCTACCATCTCAGTGACCTCCCCTGAATTTGATCCAGTTTACTGATGTATTGGGGAGCCCAAAGCTGGATGCAGTATCTAGATGTGGTGTAATCAGTACCGAGTGGAGAGGGATAATGACTCCCCTCGGCCTCTGGCTCTGCCCCTGTTCATACCCTCGGTCCCCCCCCCTTTTCAACCGCCCCGGGCTGCCATTAGCTGTCGTTGCTGCCAGGACTTGCTGATGGCCCATGTTCCACCCACTGCCCACCGAGACTCCCAGGACTGTTCCCTCAGAGCTGCTCCCAGCAGCTGGTCCCAGCCAGTACCAGCACAGGGGCAGCTCCTTCCCAGGGACAGGGCCCCAAGAGCACCAACAGGCCCTGACGCCCCCCTCACCAGGGCTCGCCCCACCCTGCCCAAGGCCCAGGACACCATTTCAGCCCAGTCTCGAGCCATCAGTCCCTGCCCAGCGATGCTGTAGGACGTTGGTCTCCATCCCCCACAGCCCTGCCTGGCCAGCCATGGGCCCTGCCGAGCCCGGCCCCACCTGCAGGCTGAGGTCCCCAGGGCCCTGCAGCCATCCCAGAGCTGTGTCTGACCCTGGTTCCCCTCACAGGGCCTGATCCTGGTCTGCAGATTGATGTCCCTGCCTGACCTCAGTCCTGTCCTGTCCCCACAAGCCTGTTGGGTGATGTGGCCTCTCGGCTGCCCCAGATGCTGTTTGCCATGTGCGGGGTGGGCCCTGGTGAAGCTCTGCTGCCAGCCTGGTGCTGTGCTCCTCCACCCCATTCCCCAGGGAGCAGCCTGCCCTCGCTGCTCCCTGGCACCCAAGTGCAGGACTTCGTTGAATTTCACGGCCCATCCATTCCTCCACCCTGTCCAGGTCCCTCAGGATGGCAGCCCTGCCCTTAAGCACACCGACTAGTCCCCCTGTTTGGCATCATCTGCAAACCCAAAGATGGAGCTCTCCATCGCCTCATCCCAGGCCAGGTCCCTGCAGTGCTCCCCTTGTTACCAGCTGCCAGGTAGAGACAACCCGTTAACCAGCCCCCCCAAGCCCAACCACCCATCCTGATGGTTTTTTAGCTATCTGGTTGTTCCCCATCCAGACCATAACATCCTAACTTGGATACAAGAGCGTTGTGGGAGACAGTGACGTCTTTGCTAAATTCAAGGTAAATGACATTCCCTGGTCTCCCCTCATCCGCAGAGCCAGTTTATCGCCAAAGGCGATTGGGTTGGCCAGGCATGGTTGGCCCTTGGTCATTCCACACTGACTGCTCCCAGTCACCTTCTTCTCCA